AATGCGCCCTCCCCTCCCGGAGCCAGCCACCGGGTCTCCCCGGGAAACGGACACAGCAAGCGGGGTCAGGGTTCCGTGCGACCCCGTGACTTGCGCGCCGCGCGCAGCTTCGCCTGCGGACCTGTCAGCACTTCGCCATTAGACCACCTCCGCTCCGCCCTCCGCCCCCAGCCGCGACCCCGCCCAGAAGGGGAGCCCCCTTCCCGGCCGCCAGGCTCCCGCTTCGCTCCGGGGCGTTTTGCTGACGCCCTGGCCCGGCCCAGCTGCACCTGGGCTGCTCCCGCCCGGGGCGCCACCCCTCTCTCTGCCGAGAGAACTTTCCCTGGAGCCGCCGAGGCCTGGCGCGCCCGAGGCACACCCCCCCCGCCCGTCCGCCCGCCGCGTTCCCAGCCAGGGCGCCCGCCTCTCCGCCTGCACGCCCGCCCGCGAGTCCTTCGACTCCCCGCTTCTTTGACCTCCGGGAGAGGCAGCACACTGCTGCGGCGACAGGGCATCCCGGAGGGAGACCTTGAACTTGGCCCCACATAGTTCCCCACGATGAGCTCGGGGCTCCCCAGACTGGAGCTGCGCTCCGCGACCAGCTGACTTCCACTCACCGGTCGCGGTAGGAGCCCGCTGCCCTTTCCGACGGTCTGCGGACTTTTCGGTGGCCGCAGATTGGGACGACGGTCGCCGCTGCCCCTGCGGTGTTGCTGGGACGTCGTGGGTACCCCTGAAACACAAAGGAGTAGCCGAGTGCTCCCCATTCGGCGGACCGGACTGGAGGCTGCGGGGTGGGGTCTGAGCTGGAAGTGCGCGCCCGCGGGGGACCCCGCAGGCGGAGGGGAGGTCGGTGCGTGCCGGCAGCGCTCTGGGAGGCGCGGGTGGAGGAGGCTGAAGAGCTTCTAGGGTCTTCCGAGTCGGGGCGGGTGGGGGGACGCCTCGAGCTCTCGTCCCTCCCGTTTTGGGCCTCTTGCCCCAATTGCCAGGCGACTTTCGTTGTCCCTAGGACTGCGGGAGGGGCCGCGGCCGCGCCCCCGCCTTTCGAGGAGCCGGAGCCGCAGGATGCGCGGGGACGCGCCGCCGCCCTCCGCGCCCAGTTCCGCCGGCCTTTCCCCGCCGGCTCCCGGGCGCTGACGCTCCGCGTTTGTTCGCGGTCCTCGCCTCCCGCCTGCGCGGCCCTGGACCCCGCCCGGAGCTGTTCCTGTCGCCCTTGCCACGGCGCAGACAATAAATTAATGCCTCGCGCTTGAAGGGAGGGGGCGGCTCGGCGCCTGGGTCGCAGCTTTCTCGCCTGGCTGGAGACTGCCACGGCCGTCATGGGCTGTTTCTGCGCTGTTCCGGAAGAATTTTACTGCGAAGTTTTGCTCCTGGATGAATCCAAGTTAACTCTCACCACCCAGCAGCAGGGCATTAAGGTAGGGGCAGGCCGGGGGCGTGTTCGGGGGATTGGCAGCCCGGAGGGCTCGGGGGTCCATGGCTTAGTGTGAGGGCTGTCACCGGTTGGGGCGGCAGCTGCGTCGCCGGGCGGTGGGAAAGAACCGCAGCTACCCCCAGAGCTCAGGTAGAGGGTGAACGTGTCAGGGCGGGTTAACTTGGAATCCCTTCATAAAGGAAAGTAAGTTTGACGTCTCAAAGGGTAGTCCACGCACCAGTTCTCAGATGCAATCCCCAGTCCTGCAACGGCGGCCAAAACTCTTCCCAACACCAGTTTCCTCCCAAAACATCTAAAGGTCCCTGCAGCTCCCACAGAGGCACAGAATTGAATATACGGGCCGCTTGCCGCGTAGAAGGCACGATTTCCCTCGGCTTTGATGAGGCTTTTTCTTGATGGTGTCATTGAGGAAGTGAAGGAGTTCACTCGTTGAAATACATTTATTGGGTGATTGTGATTGTGTTGCCTGGACTTGTAGCTGAGTATTGCTACCTTTGGAAGGAAAATAATCTCCCTTTCCACTAGCAAGCAAACTGGTTCCCCACATTGAAATAAACATCTCTCAAAGCGACTCGGTAGTAACTTTGCTCCTGTTTGTAGGTCATTAAAATGCAATTACTTCTGTTAACCTAGAGAACCCAAACACAAAGGCTGTGAGAGATCGCAGAGATCCACTTCCTTAATTTTGCTGAGTTCTTGTGGTTGAGTGGACAAACCTGACGGAGGCGGAGGCGCACTTGTTTTGCTGTTGCAACCATGTAACTACCTGGAGGTGATAGGAATCGCTAGCGTTTTGTTTCCTTTTCTCCTTCACTTTTAAATCACAGATATTTTAGATAACTCAGCCTCTGAGTCTGGTGAAGGTCAACTGCTCCCCGCTCCTCCCCAGTACAGCTTGTCCCCTGAGAAATCAAGTTAAGTCTCTGCCAAGTGTCCTCTCTTAGTCTTGTCATCTCAGAAATTAATCCTAATGGCATAGGCCCTGGGCATTTCCTTGTGTGAATCAGTTTTTACCTAGCTTTATGCACACTAGCTTCAGTTTTGATATTACCATTCTTGGTGTACAGGATTGTAATTTCACAGATGTCATTGTTTTGCAGGAAAAAGGGCAAAAATAGTCAATTAAAAGCACAAGGTAAAGTTAACCCTTTAGGAAATTGTTTTGAATAGTGTGTCCCCAGTAATTATAATAAGCAAAAGTCAATCAGATTCTCATTTGTTTTTCCTTTCAAGACCAATAAAAGACTCTTTTGGAGGACGGTGTTCATTTTCTATTTTCAACTTTATGTTCCAAAACATCCCCTCTGCCCAAATGACATCAGGAAAAGAACTTCCCTTATAAGATCGTAAAACATCCTTTGGTATACTGTGTGAATAAAATGGCAAAAATCACAAAGACATCATAAATTTTTGATAATACATAAATTCTCTTTGGCTCAGGAATAGAAACAATTAGAAAAAGACAACTGATGATCTGATACTAAAACAAATCCTTCTGAAGTGCCAAGTCTAAAGTCATATAGAGTGTGAGCTTCCTGTATAATCATGAAAGCTATACCGGTCAACTGTGGAGCATGTACGTTACTCTGTTAAGAGAGCAGCCAAGTCTTAGGATCAAATGGAGCAATTTTGTCAAAGGAACATGAATCAAAAATCCTAGTCCATAATTACTTTTTATAACCTGATAGTGCTTACCTTGCTTTACAAATAGGTTGAAAACTGGAGAGTGATTCAAAGGCAATAGCAACTTTATAGCGGTTATTTTGGATAGATGCCATTTAACTAAATAATAATTTAAGCAGGCTTTTGTAGAAAGTAATCGTTTTGCAACAGGCTTGGCTTCTTTCAGTGTCACAAAAGCATGCCACAATTATTTTGATGGCCATATGTGTAACACAGATGTTTTCTGCCTAACTTAACCATATTATCTGTAACTACCATGCTACCATAAAATGCATGTGTTAAACACATATCTACTTGTGGCATGTACTAAATTAAACACATATGTATATTTGTAAGTGGAATATATGAACAGTATCTCAAATATAGAAAGTATTCAAATATTGAATGAATATATATGTTATTCTGTACATACTTGGCATTTTAACTCCTACTTTAGTTTGTAAGTGAAATAGTAAACAATTACTTCAAAGTTAACAGTATAATAGTTACAATAATAGTGTTTTCCTTCTGCTACAGTATACTTGATAATTTTGATTATCACTAAAGTCAAAGTTAAGCATGCAACATCAATTAGCCCATTTTCCCTGAAATTTAAATAGAAATATCTTTCCATTTTTCAAAAGCATTTCCTTATAATTATTTTGAGATGACCCTGTCTTGCATTCTATCTCAAATAGAATGAATACAGCTAATTTTGCATTAAAATTATTCACATATTTCATCCCTTAATGGAAATAATTTTACTGATTCCTGATAGTTACTTAAGAATTTGCTTGTATTACTGTTATAATAATTCTTTGTGAGTTAAAGATTACTGTTGGACATTTAGGAGTATGAGAGAAGCTTGGTAATACATTTTTTTTCTGTGTGCCATTTTGAAAAAAAAAAAAAACACTCTTTGGATCTAAGTGCCAAATTACAAATTGAAAAGTCAGTTATGAAGTGATTTTCTGCACTTCAGATCAATGTTTCTATGGACATTAGAAAAAAAAATTGATATTTTTTCCCAATTTGGAAATGGAAAGCAATTCAGCTTGAAGACAGTAGTTACACATCTTATATGTTAAGTTGCATTTAAATGGAAAGTAATTTTTTGTTTAAAACATAAACAGAAAAATAAAACAGTATATTGTATTCAGTGTTATGTAGAAATTTGCTGCCTTAATTTGCTTTAGGGGTAACCTCACTTTGACAAACAGAAAGTCTTTTTCATGCAGTTTGTAGTTTGAGTCCTATCCATGGTTTAAAAACCCAAGTTTATGTAAACTGTAAGCTATTGGTTGTGTGTTGAGCCCCACAATAACTTTTAGCTGTTTGTTCTCTGCTATCTCTATTGTTTATTCAAGTTAAGAATTTCTGCTGTGGTTGGTCTCTTGTTTTTTTGAGTAATGTTTATTCAGGGAAACTTTTGTTATGTCCTTTGTAGCTCTTTGTCTTGGTGGAGGTAGAAGTCTTTCTTTTTGTTCTCTTTAGAAAACCAAACTTCAATGTGGCTCACACTACCTTTATAGGCTGTCATTTGATTAGCAAAAATTTTCAGGGGAAAAAAAATCGCAAGGTTTGATGATAAATTTAGTTTGAAAATTGCTGCTGCAAATATGAACTAGATTAATATTTTCATTTCAGCAAGATTTTAGTCCTCTGAGTAGTAATGTAATAACCACTGAGGTGCTAATTTTCCTCTCAAGGGATTTGACTAAGTTAATGAAACCAATGATAGCAAGATGGAAATTCCATTAACTTTTTTCAAACAGCTTTATTGAGATATATCGTACAATTCACACAATTAAAGTGTACAGTTCATCTATTAACTTTTAAATGAAGTTACTTCCTAATCATCCTGAGTTTCCTGAGGGAATATTATGTCAGTTTTGATGCTTTGATCAAAAACGTCCTAATAAACTAGAAAAACAATTAGCAATTAGAAGGTGGGGACTTAGATTATATCCCGATCACCAAGAATTGTAATTTTCATCCCATTTGGACTGATAAAGAGAAATCTAAGATGATTGGGCAAAAATGAAAAGCAATAGTTCTTCACAAATTATATTAAGTATTTTATGTGAATAGCTATATCCTTGATATCAACCATGTAGGGTGCAGAGTCAGAGACCTTACAAACAGATTGAAGCAGGTAATCATACACCAACATTTTTGTTAATGTAAGGTTAGCTGGAGTCTTGATTGCTCAGTAAATTCGATGTAACTGGGATAGCAGTACCCCTTCTCCACTCTTCATCTAGGTTTCTAAAATTCAAATATAATATTTATGTTGAAGATGAACTAATATGTGAATGCTCCCTCACATTTTTTTTGTGTTTTTGTTTAAAGTATTTTTCGGCTTTACCGAGGTATAATTGACAAACAAAATTGTAATAAATTTAAAGTGTACAACGTGATTTGATATACATATACATTGTGAAAGGATTCTTACCATCCCACCAAGTTAACACATCTGTCACCTCACCTATTTACCTTTTGTTGCTGAGGGCACTTAAGTTCTATTCTCAGCAAATTTTAGTTATACAATACAGCATTATCAACTATAGTCACTATATTGTATATTACATCCTCAGACCTTAAGTGCCCCCTCAATTTTATAAGTTCTTTTCTTAAAAAATATATTAAAAATACTTTTTATCATTCATGCTTTGAAAGTGATTTAAAAATAATTTAAGGGGGAAATCATTGTTACTTCCAGCAGCTAGCTAAGGGCGGTCCTTCTCCAGGTGTTTATAATTTTCTTAGTTGAAGGCGGACCACACTCTTTGCAGCCCCTTTAATATAATTGTTCTTGAATTCTATAATGTTAAGCTTGAACTAACTTTGAACTAAAGTTGAACTAATGCAGAGCTTTTGTTGCTTTTGCCTGTTGGTGGTGTCTTGGTCTGTTTGGGCTGCTATAACAAAATACCACAGACTGGGTAACTTATAAACAAGAGAAATTTATTTTTCATAGTTCTAGAGGCTGGAAGTCTGAGATCAGGTTGCCAGCATGGCCAGGTGAGAGCCCTCTTCTGGGTGGAAAACTTCTTGTATCCTTGCATGGCAGAAGAGGCTGGGGGCTCTACTGGCTCTCTTTCATAGGAGTGCTAATCCCAAAGACCTCACCTGTTATTGGTGGTTAAGTTTCTAGCATGTGAATTTTGTGGGAACACAAACATTCAGATCAAAACAGTTAAATCTAAATTGCAGGGACAAAAGTTCAGACTACTTTCCATTAGCCAGCCACGTGGACGGTGGTTTGTTATTTTTATTAAGACACTTACAAACAAGACTGGAAGCTTTATTTTTTCTTCA